GCGTCTCGCCGTCTTTCGGCTAGCATCTAGAATTTCTGCGTATCACAGCGCGCGCCCCCGACCGCCCCGGAGTCCTTCCACTTTGCTGCGCTCCCAAAACTCCCCCTTTTATTCACTGCGCGCTGAGGTCGGTGGAATGGCGCAACCATCAAGATGAGCGAGCCAAAAAGGGCCAAGAACAACACAATCGTCGCGAAACGCGATGCCAGCGATGAGTGGTAGTTGTAGAGGTTTTCGGAGGACGAGGGAGCAAAAGAGGACCTGCTTTCAACATTGGGTTGTTATGAAAAATTACGAAAAAAACAAAAAACCTACAAAATTCATCATAAATCATTCGAAAAACTCACAAATTTTCACTGAAATTTAACTAACTTTAACAGATTTACAATGAAATTCTTTCTGAAACACTCTGTATCTCCCATGCACCAAATGTAAACCAATGCAGAGAGGCGAATAAAAGCAGCGACTTGGCTCGTCTAACCATTTCATAATTTATAGCGGCGAGTTTCAGTCATTGCGTGCGATGTTGGCTCCCGAAGAGATACTAGTGTGTCCGCGCGCAAGTTTCGACTGGCCTAATGTGCAGAAAATGCGAAAAATACGCCCGCCGGGGGGGGCCAACGATGTTCGGGTACTTAGTTAGCGTGGTAATTAGACGCAGCCGGTCGGTCCTAACAAACATTCGCCGGCGCTGATGGCGTTCGGTAATGTATTGAGACGTTAAAGAGGCTAACCAACCCCTTTTCGTGCGCCCGAATCTAATAATCTTTAAACGTCGATAAAATGTCGCATTTATGACCCGGACGACAGCTGCTATTTTACGATTCGCTTTGCACATAATAGCGAGCGGAGAGTGGAAAACGTGTAGCACGAGTGCGGAAAATGTACGTCAGCAACATGCACGTGCCGCGGGCGCTCGCAGGCACGAAAACACACTTTTACACAATTGCTCGTAAACGGATAGATTTGTTTGTGGTCAAGGCTAACAGTGCTGAAAAGTTCATTTTCGCAACTATAAACTGCAAATTGTTAAAAATACCGATAGTAAAAGCAGTATACCGGTATTTTTCAAAAAAAAAAAAATTTTTGAAAATAAAAATTTAAAAAAATTAGAAGATAACATGAAAAATTAAAAATACCGGTATTAATACCGGTTTACCGGTTTTTTTAATTTTAAAAAACCGGTATATTTCAATAAAATTATTTTTTCAATAAACAATATTCCTGATTACTTAATTTTAAAAATACCGGTATTTTTGAAACTCAAAATTCTCATCTCAACTATAAACTGCAAATTGTTAAAAATACCGATAGTAAAAGCGGTATACCGGTATTTTTCTAAAAATATTTAAATTTGGAAATACAAATTTAACAAATTTAAAAAATAACACAAAAAATTAAAAATACCGGTATCAATACCGGTATACCGGTATTTTCATCTTCAAATACCGCTTTTTTAATAAAACTCATTTTTTAAACAAAAAATATTCCTGATTATTTAATTTTAAAAAATACCGGTATTTTTAAAACTCAAAATTCACATCTCAACTATAAACTGCATTGGCAATATTTAACAACGTAAACATTCCTCGTTGGTTGGATAAATAGTTGTTGCAGTTGTAAGCAAGTTGGCGGTAATATTATTAGTAGTGTGCCGGTAATGATTTTGCTGACCAGCCACCGGCAGACGTAATGGCGGTCTTTCCACCATGCTATTTGTTCATTTGCCACTGGAGCACCGACTAGAGGTAGCTCTGTATTGCGGCAACCAACTATTCGTTGACCATTTGTAGTTGTTGCGTTTTTGCACAAACCGCGCGCGTAGTTGTGACAGGAGGAATTAGGACGATTCCGAGGGTTTTCGGATCGATCAGATTGCTGCATTCTACTCTCCCTACATATACCTAATGTACCAGAAAAGGTGAATTTCGAAAAAAAATTCCACGGAAATATAGTCATCAAGTGTTTTTACTTTACATGAGCGAAGAGAATGACATTTATTGCTCGATCATGCGATCCCATCTCCGGAGGGGTCCAATAATTTCACTTTCGCTCCGGCACACAATGGCGTCGTAACTTTTATACGTCTAATACGCTGAAATGTGTACTTTGTAGCTTTACATATATGATATTATATATATTCTACTTTATATCTCTACCTGAAGATGAGAATAAAAAACGTCAGGCAAATCGAATAAAAAACGCAGATAATTTTTTTTCCTTCGTCGGAATAACCTTTAAAAATTTATTTACAAGATTTCAAGTTGAAGTCTTTTGCGCTCATATCCGTTTTGCTTTTCTTTCAAAACCATGTGCATTGTGCTCATGTTCAACCTGATTTACTCCCGCAGAATGGAAAAAAAGCAAGCACGGTTTATGTTATACAGTTATTCTCTAGTTATTGCTCGGTTAACTCGGTGGAAGTTGCAAATGCGTGACCGTGCTCCAATGCAGCATCCACCATCCATCCGATCCAAGGGTAGTCGTAGTCGTACATGCGAATGAAACGTCCCTAACTTTATTACTAACTTTAACCCATTTTAACCGGATATATTGCTTTTAGAACTAGTCGCACTCGCATATTTTACGCCAACCACAAGAGACGCAATAAGAAAATCAACACGAAATCAAATTTATGTTTTTCAACACTCGTGAGCTAATTAATTAAAATATTAATTTCAACGCAGGCACGTAGATACATTTTTCTGCAGTAAATTTTCCTCTCTGTGCCGCGCATTGAAAAACGCGCCACGAGTTACTCTTCGCATGATTTATAGAAGGACGCCGGTTAAGTAATTAAGCTGGCAGGTGCAGGATGCTTCCGAAACGAAACGGACAATCCGGGCTAGATTATGAGCGCGCGACGGGGCGGGTGGAGGGTGTTTGCCGCGAACACGTTCGTTAGAGATTCCTCTTGTTCTTCGCTAAACGCCGCTCGCTGTGCTTGCAACCATCCATCATGCCCGAAGGTGACACGGCGCTGTTTTAATAAGCTTCGCCTCGATATATCGATACATCAAAGCCGCAAACAATGCAACCAGAGCGCGCGCGTCTCGTAAAAAACGTAAAAAACTTGCTTGCAATTTAAAATTTCATTATTTAACCGTAAATATCGAAAACTTTAGCTATTACCGCATGAATGACAGGTGTTCAATTAATGAAGCAGATTGTACGGCTATAAAAAGTCGGGTTTCAAGTTAAAGTTGGGCATATTTACCGCACAACTTACGAGTAATAAATGTTTTACAAGAAGTGCGCGCGCGGTAGTAAATCAAAGAACACCCCTCGAAAGTTAAATTATGATTACCTAACCATCAGCCATCAACCACCAACGAGTCTTCTTGAGAGAGTTCGTGGTAACGTTGGTTTAATTAATCGCGCGGCGAATTTTCGAAAAATTTAAATTCGAGAAATACGCGCGGTAATTAAGTGTTTTTGTTGTAATTTAAGAGAATTATGCGTTTGGCGACCCTAGTTGAATTACAAAATCGCTCGCAACAAATAACACAAACGGATAATTAACTTCACCGGGCGTGTAATGAAGGAAGTCGTATTTTACACTAAATAAAGTGCGGATTTTATGTTAGCAAGCTCAAAATACAAAGTTACATTACGAGTAATTCCAAAATGACTAAGAAGCTAATTCTTGGAGAAACAAGTGTAAAAGGTATTTTTATAGAGAATTTAAAGCTCTACAATTTTTATCTAAGATAATTTGTTGATAGAAGCAGTATTTTGGCGGGAAAATGAAAAAATCATATTTTTTCACTTTTTTGCAAAAAACGCAAAAAAATAATTCATTCTCAAATTCTCAAATAATTCATTCTTGGAGAAATAAGTGTAAAAGATATTTTTATAGAGAATTTAAAGCTCTACAATTTTTATCTAAGATATTTTTTGTTAGAAGTGGTATTTTGGCTGGAAAATGCAAAAAATCATATTTTTTCACTTTTTTGCAAAAAAACGCAAAAAACTAATTCATTCTCAAATAACTAAGAAGCTCATTCTTGGAGAAATAAGTGTAAAAGATATTTTTATAGAGAATTTAAAGCTCTACAATTTTTATCTAAGATATTTTTTTGATAGAAGCAGTATTTTGGCTTGAAAATGCAAAAAATCATATTTTTCACTTTTTTGCAAAAAAAAAACGCAAAAACTAATTTTTGCAACTTTGAACATGAATAACTCTTTTCCCAGACATGATACCCCTGGAAACTTTTCAAAATATTATTCCTAATGTCCTAAAGACCATTTCCCCCACTACTTTTTTGCAAATTTTCACCCCCTTGGCGTTGACATTGCATTATTGTCGGTTAGTCGCTGACGTAAATACACGTCAAGAGTTAATTCCTCGTAACTAATAACACGAGTAAAGGTTAACTGTAGGCAATGTATTTAAACAGAACACAACAAAACCAGCGATGTAGTTGACTAGATGTCCTGTCCGATGCACATTCGCCATGTAACTTTCGCATCTGGCTGGAACAGTTCTGGCCCCGAAAACTAGGCACCCGCCCGCAAACTAATGTGCTGCCCCTTAGCCAGCAGCTAAGATGACCGGCGCGCCGCGAGAAACACCCAAAGGAGAAACGAAACGAAGGCTTTCACACGCCCGCCGGCTATAACCGCCCCTGTTACCAAACATGAACTACCCGGGAATGCCTAACGAACTCGGCAGCGCGCGACGGAATGCTAAAGACATTGTTTGTTACAATTTTAGTGCTCCATTTAGTGACCACTGACGGACAGCAATGTATGAACTTGAGTCGCAATGGAAACAATCAAAACAAGATGGAATTGTTCTTCCACCAAGAAAAGAAAATTACTACATCAAGAAAAATTTATTTTTCGTTTTATTTTTCTGTAATTTTATACTCAATTCGGGCATTTTTGTTGACTAGAATTTGATTTTATACAAAATCCTGAATACGTAATCAGAATCTACCTGCGCGGCGGGAATATGTGTAGTGTTGGCGAATAAAAAGAATAAAACTACTTACCGACGACAGCAGAACGCAGGCGAGAAGGAAGAAGACTCCTCGTTGGACTTTCATCATCGGGGCGGCGAGGGTTTCGCTTTTGCGCCGAAACGTAATTTCTAATTTTCTCCACACCGCGCCGTGTTCGCTTCACGTTCGCCACGGCATTAAAGGGCGACTGCAACAGACAGATGGAATACGGAAATTAATTTTACATTCTTAATTAAACCCACACTCAGCGATAACAATAAACAAGTACAAGTATGATTAATAAATTAGCGCGCGCGCGCGCGGTATTTCTGTATTTCGTTTAAATAAGAAATATTTCACTTTGTGCGCTGAATTTAATTAATAGAAATTATTACCAGATGGATAAAGTATAGTATTCGCCGGATTAATAAAGAGAATACATGTCTGGAATATAATACCTTTTGTGGGGCTTAACCAATCATGTTGGAGGTGTCAAAAAGTCATTTATTAAATTGTGTCCACATTTATGACATTGTGATACTGTGATTTTACGACGACAAGCGTAAAACTTAAGCTGCTTCTGATTGTGCGCTGTAAATAGTCAAAAAATAAAAACATGTCCGACATGAGTAGAGAAATACGAGACGCAGAGGCTAGGTCTACCACCACCGGCGTGTGATGGCCTTGTTTATCAGAAGCGAACGCGCAGAAAACGCTCCGAGGCAACCGGGAAAATACTCGGAACAAGGGGAGCCGGGATTTAGCGACTCGCGTTCCGTTCAGAGTTATTGCCGGAGGTCAATCGATCAGAGTGTCCTCACTTATAAACACACCTATACAGGCGCGCAATTTCGTGCCGAGGGTAAAGCCCCGAAACAAAATACGCGCCGTGGAAAAACATGGAAAAATAAAAGCAAAGTCGCCAAACGTCACAAAGATAGACCGCAGAAAAGATCAGGCCAGAGGATAAGGAAATGTATAGAAAAAACTTTCAATTTCGCAAAATTACGGTTATTATTTTAATTTCAACGCGGGATAAAAATTGCTAATCGTTTATTTGCATGTTGGAGGGCATAAATAATAAAAATATGGTTTATATCAACGCTAGCAGTACTAGAAAAACAATTTTTCTGTTTTTTTAGAAGAAAATTTGTTGTAATTCTTCAGTTTTTCGCAATTTTCTTAAGAAAAAAACTAAAATATTATTTCCTAACGAAAGAAATTACATTTTTCTACTTTTTCCATGTTTTAGAGACACAGCAAGTAGTAATTTAATCACGGATTGCCAAAACCGTGGCTAAAGTACTTTAGTCACGGTTTTGAAATAAAAAGTTCAAATTCAAAAATAAACATGAAAATAAAGAAAAAGTAGGAAAAAAAACGTACGCATCACATCGCTAAACGTGTTTATAGTGTCACTTAGCCCACTAGACACTTAATATACTATTTTTCTTCAAAAAATCATGAAAAAACTGTTTTTCTCATGTCCTACTCATAATAAACCTTTCCTATTCACTGAAACACATAAAATACTACGAGATACATTTCTCATGTTCATCCTTTCGTCGATCTTGTTAGATGTGAGATAATTGATACAGCCGGGAAGCACGATTAATGCATGTTTACATAACAACCGACGATAAGGTAATACCCAGTAAACATTTTAGCCGAAAGTTGTGTTCCGTGTGTGACGTGGGTATCGAAGTGAGCGCACGCCGCATTAAGACAATACGGGAACGTAATCGAGTGAACGCGGGGAGTACACGTATCGACGTCGGCGGCTATTAAATAGAAGCCCGATGGGGGAGGCAGGGCCCGCTTCAAATTTACTATCAACGCTATCTACCAATATTGAATGCGTCGTGCGCGCGCGCGCGCACAGCGGGTCATCAGATGAAATTCTCTCGACAAATGTTTCTCGTGTTTTCTATCAAAAGATAATCGATCTTGACTTAAACACACACACAGCTACAATATGTAGTTTAAAATACTTGTACTTTGTAAAGTGTAAATTTATTTATTTTTGTCTTTTGTCTTTTGAGTTAAAGAAAACTACTTTTGTTTCTTTTCAACGTTGCGAAACCTTTTGCTACGAAGATACGAAGCGGCTATTTAGAAATTCCGTTGATGGCGCGCCTAGAAGATGCGATAAAGTAGTTTATCGTGGAGTCAACGGTTGAGACTGCCAGTGGATTGTCATCGCATGGAAAACACGAAGGACGTGCATGTATAGACGTAAACTCTCAAATAAAACGTACGACGCAATCGGCGTCGGTGTGCGTGAAAGCAAAACTTTAAAAGAATATGATGATAGCGAAGATGGACCCGAACTTTTCGGAGGAATGTTATAAATTTTAAACATCTAAAAGATTATGTGACGCCCAAACTTTGCTATGCTGGGTGTAATATACAACATGCCTGTACATGTGCAAATAAATCAATACGAAATATTTTTACAATTCGGCGTAAATCGGCGTAGTATCTAAGTGGAAACGCAAAGAAAACCAGAATAAACACTTACGCGCTAAACTTCGCTGCGAAAACAGAATCATTGAATTATATCGGTGGCGAGGAACACAGGAAAACACAAACAAAATAACCGAAATATCGAAAACGCTAAGGCATAAATCAAAGTTTATGTACTGAGTGTTTATGAAATCAAATATCTTTAAAACCAATTTATTTAAAACATTTAAAACAAAAAAATAGTTTTAAAGTTTTATTTTGTAGAGAATCTTATAAAGATTAATAATCTACAAAAATTTTATAAATATTTCTTCTAGTTTTCGAGATAATCACAACTTTATATTAAAAATTTGTTTTTTTTTTGCACGTGTCATGCATACGCATCTATTTCATTATTTTTGTTTCCACTAAAATGTTTTGTGAAGCAATAATACCCATAATCCAAATTGTGAAACGTGCAATGAAACGAATTAGTAAAAAATACAATATGTTGCAATGTTGGTTGCATAACCGGCGTTGTGAAACGCAATAGAATGCATAAATGCGTGTATGTTGTGATAAGTGTAATTAATAATGGGCTTTACCAGGCGACTCGGTTCTATAACAATTCCGTGCAAAGCTCATTTGCCCCTCTTTGAATATATTATATCTACATTCGTATGAAAACATTGAAAACAACGCACGTGCTCGTGACGTCTGCTAATTATCCACTGAATACGAATGATGACTACGACTATAAAATATTTTGTGATTTTCAAATACAGCGTAAAATATTATTATTAACTAGCTTTAACCCCGGCTTCGATCGCGAATATCTAAAATAATGAAGTTGCTTCTGCACGCGTCTGTAGTCACAGAAGAAGTAACAATGATGTAGAATGGCGGGAAGTTTAAAATGGCTGAAAGTATAGTCTATGGAAGTATAGTGTACAGTCTCCATAGTGTAGTCAATTGGATTTGATGTTGACGTAGCTGTCGGTAATACAGTGTGATAATACAGTGTGATGGTACTATAGTACTTAGGTTTGAGCTTCATTGCTGGAATGCTAGATGGCGTTAAAGTAGTCAAATAGCCAGATGCAGTGGTATTATTGGCTAAACAATTTCTTTATTTTATTTAAAAAATAATTTTTTTTATTAAATAAAAAGTAGCCTATAACCATTCGGGGACCACTAAGAATATGTGTACAAATTTTCATGATGATCGGTTGCGTAGTTTTTGCGTGAAAGTGTAACAAACATCAGGACTTTCGCATTTATAATATTAGTAGGGATTTCTTTGTGTAACTCAAAATTTATTTATTTTTTGTTTTTGGATTTCAAATACTCTGTCTCTGAATATTTTTCCGAATGAAATCAGTAGTGGTAAAGTTGAACGCGGATTGTTTTAATAAACAAAAGCTATTAAGCGGTTTTGTCGCAAATGCGACTCCTTACAGCTTGCGTTCGCTTGCCGCAAGCGTAGTTCCGTGAGTAATAGTTCAAGCAGAAGAGAAACGTATCCACCCCGCAAGTCGGCTGATAAGGTAGCAGGTATTGTGTAACTAATGGTCTGTTTCCTAATTAAATTACGAGCGAGCTTTTACTATTAACAGCCGCAGCCGCGCAACGCGTCTTAATATCTAATTACATTTTCACCATTCGACCAAAACTTCCCCATTCGTCGCTTTTTTAAATATTAAACCCAATCGAAAGCAAAACGGCACACGTGACCTTTGAAACATAAAGATAAAGTGTGTGTGCGGAATATAAATTCATAGCAATGGCAAGCAAGTGTGCCGAAAATGCCGCAATGCGCTTTTTACTACTCTCAGCAACTATCTCTATGTATACAAATTAAAGGAGGCTGTTCCAACCAGGAAATAAATATTTTTCAACTGCAATATCAGCAGATATGACGCATCTTTGTTTTGAGTGGTCGTTATCTTAATTGCGACGACGGTCCAGAGCCACCAATTTGTTTTTACGCACAAAATTAATATTCTCAACCCTCGATTTACCCTTATGAATATCCGCCGGAGTTTGTAACACTAACAGTTTGTGTTTTACTACGTAGCGGTTGCATCTTTGACTTGGCGGTAGTAAATTTATCACTGGAAAGTTTTTACTACCCACAGATATATATTACGTTAGGTTAGGTTACAAATTTAACCTACAACACACCAAAACAAATTTTAGTTTATTTTCTCACCACTAGAGGGCGTTGGTTGTGAAAGTAGCGTTGAAATTTATTCTTCGATTTATCCGATCACGCGAGCATACAAACACAGTCAATGGGAAGAGACAGCGTCCGTGCGAAGTGAAGCGCAATTAACTTTTTCAACGCGTGTCGAAGCTCTCTATCCGTGTACTTGATCAACTTACTTGTGCATCGGAACGTAGGTACGTTGGAACTTTGTGTTGGGAAATGATTTGAATTGCTAATTCGGAACGCCTTATAATGATCCCTCCCCAATCGGATTACCAAACATCCAATTATAAATTGTATAAATACGAGCCGAACGTTCGATTAGCTTCGTTCGGACGCCGGCGCAGCTTCATCATCCGGAGACACGCAAACCATAAACAACTTCGATATACGAGTAGTATTGAAGGAATAGAATGAAGAAATTTCGAGCCGGTATTTTCTCAGCGCGTCCTCAACGTGGGCTGTTTTTTTATTCGACACGACAATAGTGATGCAATATAAAAAAAATTAAATTGAAATTCTTTTCTGAATTAAGTTAGTGTATTACATATCTA